AACATACCCACGCGTAAGCACATCCATGCTCCGCGATCCCCATCATAACGCAATCTGTATGACCCTCTACGGTCCAACAATGTTTTAAACATACACATGTTGCCCCCCCCCTCCCAAGATGTAATCCGTCCGTACCGGTATGAACTAAAACAGATTTGCAATTTACCTAAAACCGGCAACAAGGCGGTTTTATTGGATAAACATTAAGTCAATCCCTACAGCTAAACCTTAGCATTGATGTTTGCATGTTCAAGTTCACACCATCGCTTTCACAGAGACTGAGCCTGAGGCGATAATGCTGCAACTACACATCACCAGTCTGCCCTGGGCAGCCAACTTATTTCAGTCTAAATCGACACGGTTTGAAATGCGGATTGTTCCCTGAATATTCCAATATGGAATAATCCATACCTGTATGAGAGGATTCCCATTCTGAATGGTAAATTATGCAATTATGTTATATATGTATAAATAATAGACAAGCATTTGCATAATATTTTTTATATTAATCGTCATGGGGTCACGAAGTACAAGGGTTATCTTAGAATTTTCGGGTACTGAGTGGCATGGCGTTTACTCATGAAAATGCCGTAGCAGAGTTAGCACCATATACGGTCAAACTTTGGACTAAAAATGATGCGTTTCGCTGAAAGTGGCACATTGCTTAAGATTTTTTAGTAAGTAACTGAAATGCGAATATTACACGTGGATACGGATATGTGACGCAGCATGGAGATATATATGTCATATATGTATGTTGGGAGTAACAAGGAAAAAGTGAGAAGAAGAACGAATGGATAAAAGCATACACGCTGTCTGTGGCATCATTGCATGAGTGCAGACGTTAAAGGGACAATGGGCAGTGCACGTCAAAAGAAGAACCGACCATCGCTGCATTTTTGACAAGAGACGGCAGAGTGGCTGGCGAATGAGAGTAGACGATTCGTAACAAAACCTGTAGATCGAAGAGGATGTGCATAAAAAGTTTATTGGATTAAGATGAACAGGAATCTCATATAACATTTATTTATAAAAAAGTCTTTGAGAGGCATTCATTTAGGAGTGGATCGAAAATGGCTGATGATCATGAAGAAGTAGGTACAGGTTTAATCGCATTAAATGCCATAAATCTACGTTACCACATCACCTTAACTTTACTGTACGAAATGTTACTTTGCAAATTGCTGTGAAAGCAACGGTCATTACCTGATTTCGTGGATTGCAAACTACGGATGAGTGGATACTCCCGATCCACTACTGCAGCTGAGAAAATCTCTCACGAACACCGAAACGGTCATGTGAGGACACGGATCTTTCAGCCTCTTAAGGCACGTCTGGCCAGGAAAAAGTCACTCTGAATAAAAATCCCTTGCCTGGACGGAATGATTGGGGTCGCCGTATAAAATTGTTAGCTATAACATCATGATAAACATCTTTTCACTATCATTATTACGCTCTGAAGAGAGAATGACTACTTCAATGAGAATGAAAAGAGAATGGGCAGAGCGAATCATCCGAATGACGCCTGACGGTTTACATCAAGGACTGAGGGGGTACAGTAGCATTATCCGTGTCCTCCAGATGATAAGGATATGATAAACGGCATCATAACGTTTCTCAAGCTTGTATCATCGCCCTGAGATTTAGATGACCCCTGTCTCTGCCGATGAAGCAATCTTGTCCTGTTTTCTAGCTTCTTGTGAAAGCCTTTATTTGATTTTAGATCAGGGATGTTACATGTTCTGGAACAATCATCTTTTTTAATCTTTTAACCCTCTACGGCAATAGAGTTTACTGTAATCCGTAATTTGTTTCACTCTGTTAGGAGTAAACTGGTCGGAAAAGCAGTCGTGTTGTACAATTATTTATGATTCGAAAATTTTATAATTACATATTCCCCACATTTTCTTCTGTTGCCATCCTCCTTGAGTAATGTAAGTGCATTCTTGACCTTGGACTTTACAGTAAAACCTAGTGTTATGTTTTGACTGTCCATACCTATAATATTTACGACACCTAAGAAAATTCAGAAATTTACACTCATTCATTTTCTCTTGTTATGCCTCAGTTCTTTCGAATATATAACAGAATACTACTGAGCTTAAACAGAAGTCCACAAAGTGAAAAGTAACGAAAATCAATTTTACACCGGCGAAATTTTCTTCGCTCTTTTAAAATGAAGCTGTTGGATTTACCTCGCTCGCATTACTCAATTAAAAAGCTACATGTTTTAAGTTCCTGCCTCAAAACCTTTCCATCGTTAAAGGATGACAAAGCACATAAAATTTTAACCATTATTGAAAACAACCGCCCTCGGCCATCTGACGTTACGTGCGTCATAGATCCTTTTTAACCAATCAAGACAATCTCGAATTTCATCAATGCCTACGCTACTTCGCGACTGCTGTTAAAAACAAGCAACGACTTTGCATAGCAGATCTACAGCTGTAACACTTGATCACTCGATACATAGATCGAATGTCGAAGCCGTTCCGAATAATAAATCACAGTCTGGAAAAACCTCGCCGTTGTCAGGCTCAAGCCCGAATGAGAAGGTAGGAGGGTTTGAAACCGTGGTGAGGTCACCGTAGAACTAAGCCACCTGTTCATCATGACATTGTTGCAACCGAGCATTATATAGGTCCGGTCATCGCCTGATCTACCAAGGGCCATATAAGCTGTTTCGGGGCAGAGACAGGCCACGAAAAGTTGGCAATCCCAACTTCTTCCTGCTTCCTGGCAGGAAGGGTGGCAGCAGCACAATAACGCTCCCAAACACCGGAAAACACGATGTCCGAGATACCAGTCATCGACGGAGCAGGTAAACTG